CATCCAACCATCTCGTAATCTTCCCCAGCATCAGGGTCTTTTCCAATGAGTCAGTTCTTCACATCAGGTGGCAAAAAAAAAAGAATACTGAGATAGAATAGGAAAAAGAAGTTCAGTTCTCAAGCAGAGATATTCCAGGGCCTGGAGCTGGAGCTTAGAGATAGATCAACACATCATACAAAGCTTTAAAATTATATAAGATCCATTTTTTATTCTTTTGAGATAAGAGGACAAATTAACCCTGTACCTGGGGAGAATATAGAGGAAAGGCTTCTTGGCCAGTTTTATATTACAGCTGACTTCTTTTGATTCCATTTATCCCCTAATCATGACCAGCAACACTCTCTGCTGTTATTCCCCTGTTTTTACACAGTCTCCTCATTCAAAGACACTAAACTTTAAAGAACGCTCATAAATTACTTGAGGATTTGAGGGTAAAAGAAAGGACAAGGAGGCTTTCCCTAGCATTTCCATCAGACTCAGCAGATGGCGCTATAGGAACAGTGCGCCTTGCAGACAAGGGTGAAAATGTGACTGAACAGGGGTGGGAAGAAAACTCACTGTTTATCCTCACAGATCTTTTTGTTTGTTGATTGTTTTTTTTTAAGTTAAAATTAGAGTCCTCATGAACTGTCCTTCACCCCCTTTCTTTTCCAATAAAAGAAAAAAAAAGTGCCCCATTCCCTAGCTATTTTTAGGAAGAAACAAATTTGAGTTTGAAACTTCCTTCTCCACTTAATAACTGAGTGACTAGAAATGAGTTTTGTTTTTGAACTTCAGTTTTTTCATCTGAAAAATGCAGGTAATATTACCCACATCATACGGTTGTTGTGAGGATTGACAGAATGAAGGACATAAGGGCACAGAGCACCAGGCTTGGCATAAACGGCAACGTAATTTTTTTCTTGGGCCAACACATAAGGCACTGAAAAACCTATAACATGTCACTTACCTTAAGAAATCTCTTTTCCTGAATCCTGTCACCTCCAAGGGGAAAACCAACAACCAAACTGATGGTGGATGGGGGAAGGGGACTTCATGCCCACCCTGTTAATGTAAAGAACCTACTCTGGTAAAATCACAAATCTGTTTTAGAAAGGACTTCTGTGACAATCATTCCAACTCTTATATTAGTAATTCTCAAAAGGTAGACAAGAGGCCAAAAGGCACTGGCCATGCCTGTTTTCTCGTGACAATAAACTGAGCAGTAAAGCTCATCAAATACTGGTTGTTGATTTTGGAAGAAAATCAGAAAATCATAAAGTACTGAAAGGATTAAAACTGCTACATGATACATGAAAGTTCCTTTAATACCCCTGACAATAAATACAAGTACTTTGTAAAAAGCTCACTGCACTTTCAGCCAACACAGATGTTAAAAGTTTCTCCCTTATATCAAGTCAAAATTTACCACCCTTGAACAGTCAGCTTGTTCCCCTTCCTGCCTCCTCATGTATGCTGACTTTCACAGACATACACACTTTTCTCTCCCAACTGTTTGTGGTAACGATGTCCCACACTTCCCAGCCCTTCTCTTCCCTTTAGATTCTCCTCTGCTTTCTTGGCAAGCAAATACAGAACAGGGCCAGCAGGAGGCAAACTACAGCCCACAGGCCATATGTAGGGCATCACCGATTTGTTAAAAATGGCACACAAGCTAAGAATGCTTTCTACACTCTTAAGGGTTGGAAAAAAAAAATGTCACATGTGAAATTATGAAATTTAAGGGTCAAGTCAATCATTAGGTTTTATTGAAACACAGCCATGCTGATCTGTTTGCACATCATCTATGATGATTTCATGCTACAAGAACAGAGGTGAGAGTTGTAACAAAGCCCACCTGGTCTACAAGCCTATAATATTTAATACCTGATCCTTTACAGAAAAGCTTGCCAACCCCTCCTGCAGGAGAGCACTGGCCCCAGAAACATGTTTCACCCACCATGCTTTCTTCCCTCTGTGATGACAGCCAGCTCCTGCAGGAAATTAGCCCTCAACAAATTCCACCTCCCCTGCAATTCCACAGTCTCAGTCACACCTCTGATGAAGCGTGACAACCTGGTCCAAATCAGGCATCCAAAGGAAACATCACCACAGAATGGATAGTGACTCTACAGCCCTCTGAGTAACACTTAGAACAAAGCATGCAGCCGAATAGTGGTTGAATTTGGAATCATATAATTTATCATTTCCCAATAGTTGCCACCACTCCTTCCCAATCCCTGATGATCATATTGTGTAAGTTGTAAGTCTGTGTCATTCACCCAGCTTCAGTGAGACTTGTACTATACATTTCCAACAGACAGAGTGTAGAGAAAAGTCTTCAGGGAGGATTCCTAATGTAAAGGAAGATTCAATTAAGATTCAGTTTATATCCAGGTAAAATCATGTCCTCTGAAGTGAACAGAGGAAGAGAGAGGGCAGACCCTAACCTGTGAAAAAACAGAAGTGATCAGTGCAGATCACTGCAGTCATGAGCCTTACTCCTCTTTCAATTCAACAGACATCTATGGGGACCTTTATGTGCCAACCAATGTGCTGTGTCTCCAAACGACACAGGGACTATATAAAGCGTGTTCTCTGTTCTAAGGAGATCATAGCCTGGAAGTGACAAAGGCACACAAATATATACGTGTGTGTATGAAAGGATATGCACCAAATAATTAACGGCAGCTATTTCTGGGCAATAAGAGTACATGCATTTTCATTAACCTTTCTATATTTATCTATATTTTCTAATTTTATTAAATATTAATTACATAGTAAGACAATTTTAAAAGACTATGATAGTGTGTGACTAATGTTAAAATTATGAATAAGGGATAAAATTATATCTCTCTCTCAAGTAATTCAGGAAAGATTTCCTACAGAATATGAAAGGTAAGATTCAAAAATGAATAGCAGTTTGCCAAGCAGATAACAACAAAAGATATTCCAAAATATACATATGAAATAGTATGATACATCCAGGAATGTTTATGAAGTTAATTACTGGTTGAGCACAAAGAATAGGGAGTAAACAGATGCGGTTACAGAGTAGCCGCAGTCCAGATTTTGAAGAACCCTGGATACCAATGCTAGAAAGAGCTTGGATTTCTTTGCAAGGTTAGATACTGGTTGAGTGAAAGTTGCATTTATGAATGGCCACTAAGGTCTCAGACGGTAAAGAATCCACCTGCAATGCAGGAAACCCAGGTTCGATCCCTAGGTCAGGAAGATCCCCTGGAGAAGGGCATGGCAACCAACTCCAGTATCCTTTCCTAGAGAATTCCATGGACAGAGGAGCCTGGTGGGCTACACTGCATGGGGTCACAAAGAGTTGGCACGACTGAGCAGCTTAGCACACAGATACATGCATACACTAAGGTCTCATAAACAGACTTAAGTAAAGAGATAAAAGAGCCTCTGCAGTCATTATCCATTCCAAAAGGTAATAATATCATGGGTGACACCTTGACTGGAATTTTATAGAAGAAAATAAGTTTAAAAAAGACAGTTTGACTAGATGATCTTTGGGGTTCTTTCTAAAGATCAGATTTCATGATTTATCAACATTTGGTCTCTGATGTCCCTGCACACACTCCATTCAACTTCAATTAAAGTTGATAATTCCTTATCAACACATTATGCTTCATACCTTGTTGAACAGCAAAGAGGTCTCTGGCAGGTGGGGTTGGTACTAGCCCAGATTTGGGAACTGCTAACGCAATCTCAGGTGGGTGGGTAAGGAAGTGAGAAGGTGGAGATGGAGGTGGAACTGGACTTGTCTGGGAATGAATTAGGACATCTCAAAGAGAGCAGCTCCTCCCTAAGATAGACCATTATTCCTTCTATAAAAAGGCCACTATCCCCACTAGCAGCACCCTGTAAGCTACTTCAGCCTCCATCCTACTTGTTCCTCTGGTGAGCCAGGTAAGTGAGGAGCATTTAGGGGTATAAATTATGAGAATCCATGACATGCTCTAAGGCAAACAAGCTCTGGGTACCAGGCTCCTTTTTAATATACATACTTGGGGGAACTTTGGTGTAAGTTTAACTTTGTTGAGGAGGAAAGTGAAGACTGAGACGAGTAGTATCTCCTTCTTTGGGGCCATTTCCTTAAAGATCACAAGGCTCAAGTTATCCACCAGGATTGTTGCCTCCTTTGAGATTTTTCTCTTTGGTGTAAAGCTTGAGAGTCATGCTCATCATCCTGTCACACTCAGCTCTTTGCTACCCCATGGTCTGTAGCTTGCCAGGCTCCTCTGTCCATGGGGTTCTCCAGGCAAGAATACTGGAGTAGGTTGCCATTTCCTCCTCCAGGGAATCTTTCTGACCCAGGGATTGCACTCACGTCTCCTGGGTCTCCTGCATTGGCAGGAGGATTCTTTACCACTCACTGGACCACTTGGGAAGTCTGAAGCCTGAGGGTCAGTCCTGCTTAAAGAAGAAAAACAGAAGCTGAGCCTCATAGCAACAGCCCCTAGCTCCATATTGGTTGGCTTTGCCTACTTTGTCTACTTCCTCTGGCCTAGAGTCTTGAGCATCCAAATGAGTCCTGGTGCCTCTCAGCTAGAGGCAGGCACAAACAAAGATGATGGGGCTGTCCCTCCCTAGAGTGAGGGTTTGGAACTAGAGAGAAACTGAGGAAGTGGACAGACTGGAGCACCTAGGATCCCTATAGCTCCACAACAAAGCTCTTACAATTATCCCTGGTAGAAGCAGGGAGCCAGAAACAGAAAGTGATTGCTGCTGCATTAATTCAGGCATAGAAAGAAGAGACACTGTTCCTAATTACATCACTTTCTTGCTACATGGGTTGAACCAGTCATTCAACTCTGGATTGGTTCTTTATTGTGACAGGATGAAATTAATTATGGCTGACTAATGCTGCACAATTATTACAAATGACTACTTATCTATTTAAACATGAGAAAAGGATAATAGTAGGTGGATCTCTGTCCTTATTTTCCCTCTAGGTTAATTTGAATTTACAAAAAGATGTCAAAACTTCTACAAAGCATTGTTACTGTCATCGATATTTTCTACCAATATGCCAACCAGGATGGGGAGTGTGACATGTTGAACAAGGCAGAACTGAAAGAACTTTTGGAAAATGAGTTTGGTCAAATTCTGAAGGTAAGAACTCCAAGTCAGGACTGAACACAGCTGCAATTCTTTTCATCACCCCTTCCTACCTTTTTGTCATAGATGTCAAACCCATAGAGGACTTTTCCTACTTAGCACAGGCTTGCAGTAAGATCAAAAGTTGATTCATAATTTTTCCATAACATGTCCAAGGGAAGTGATCCTACTAAACAATAGGGGGAAATCCATGGATTAAATAATGTCCTGTGTGAATAATTCTTCTGGAAAGAAACTGAGTTGGTTCTCAGAAAAACTTTAAAATAGATGAAATTTATCTTCTTCCCTTTCTTTGCCTTTCTTCAGATATCCTGACCACTGTCCATTTCTGAGATTCTGGCATAATAATGCTTCTGAGTTCAGGAAATTAGCATGTTACTCCTAAATCATAAAATAAAGTAACTACCACCCTCTAATGTTAGCTAAGGAGTAAATATTCGTAAACTTAGATCTAGCTCTTGATCTTCAATTCATTAAATCAAGCTGTGTACAGAATAGTTTTATTTGGATTCCTATGGAGGTCTTAAATTCGATACCAGATGAAAAACTCATCATCTTCCCCTCTAAACTCCTTATTCCTCTTCAACCAAGGCATAATCTGGTGCCATTCTTGGCTTTCTCTCTCAGCAGGATCCTCCACCCTCCAACCCCCATAAAATTCACCAACAGTCTCTCAACAGCTCATTTCTCTTCATCACTATTACTAGTCGTTTGGTTCAGACCACCTTCTACTTCCAAGCTCAGCATTATATGCAAATCAAATCATTTCACAACTCAACTCAAAATCCTTCACAGTTCCCAGCTCTAAAATCCCAAATTTCCTTAACACAGCTCAAAATGCATGATCTAGTCCTGATTTATCTCTCCAGCCATATCTCTTGACTATTGAGACTCCACATTTAGCAATCCCGAATCTCTCAGTTCTTTGTATGGGCCATGCTTCCTTTCAACTCCAGCTCTCTGTTCATATTGTTCCCTGTCTGCAACAGCCTTTCTCCCCTCTCCTTTCCCCACCTCTTTACTTGACTAATCCAACCTATCAATCAAAAGACATCACTTCCTCTCATTAACCATCCTTGAACCCCCAGTGGTTATTATTATTTATAAATTAGCTAATCACATTCATTTGACCCATTCCTTAAAAAATAATCCCCTGCTCCTTGTCATACCCAGTTGCATCCCCTTCTAGGTCTTCATTGCATATTACTCTCTCTCTTTCTGCCCAGAATAGGGAAGTCCAGTCTAAAGGACTATGAGACTGAGCTCCACTTAATTAAGCTAAGCACTCACATTTCTACAGTCTTCCTTCAATTGGTTAGCTCAGTGTGTGCTGCACACTCACAGAGCTTCCTTTTGTACTTTGTTCCTATACAGAATCCAGATGATCCAGACACTGTAGATATCATCATGCAAAATCTAGATCAAGACCATAACAAGAAAGTAGAATTTACTGAGTATCTTCTGATGATATTCAAGCTGGCTCGGGCCTGTAATAAAATCGTCAGCAAAGATTACTGCCAAGCTTCAGGGTCAAAGCAAAGAGGTCACAGTCACCAGGACCAAGAGGAACAGAATGAAACAGAAGAAGATGAAGGGCAAAAATCATCTTCCAGTAACTTAAGTTGGTGTGAAGGAGAGAATGATTCCCATTCCAGAGGCTCGAGAGGTAGCATTAGACACAGGTCGAGGTCCAGCTCCAGAATAACTGGGCATCAAGGAGGCTTGTCTAGTTCTGGGGACAGGCAAAGCTCTAGGGGAAGAAGGAGGGAGTCAATTTCAGGCCACTCCAAGGGTAGCAAGAAAAACAAGCATGGCTCTCATCAGCATGCTTGGTCTAGAAGTGAAGAAGTTGGTTATACTCATTCAAGCAACCATGGAACAAGATCAAACTCAAGAAACTGGTCAGGCACTTATGGAGAACAGGGGCATGTGAGCCACTCAGAGGATCAGTCTTTCAGTTCTGATCAAAACTGGTCTGACTCAAATGAATCTGTGGGTAATAGACAACATAAGAAAAAATCAAGCCAGTCACCTAGTAAGGAGCATCATGGATTCATCTCAGGGAGTTGTGGAGGACAAGGCCACTGGTCAAATTCAAATCAGCCTGCTGGTTATGGTCATGGCTATGGCTCAGGCCAGCCTTCTCAGGAGAGATGGCATGAATCAAATGAAGGATATCAATCAGGAAATTGTGAAGAACAAGGAAACTGTTCTACTTCTAGTTCGAGTGAGGTATCTAGTTATGGCCAACACAGGTCAGGCTCAGGACACCCATCTAGCAGTATCCAACATGGGTCTGGATCAGGTCAGTCCTCTTGCTATGGACAACATAGATCTAGCTCAGGTCAGTCTTCTGGCTTTAGTCACCACGGAACTGGCATAGGTCAATCCTCTAGCTATGAACAGCCTAGTTCTACTTCAAGACAGTCACCGAACTGTAGCCAACATGGACCTAGCTCAGGTCACTCTACTAGCTGTGGTCAATATGGATCTGGGTCAGGTCAGTCATCCAGCTGTGGCCAACACAGTTCTGGATCAAGTCAATCTCTTAATCATGGCCAGCATAGGTCTGAATCAAGTCAGACATCTAGCTATGGCCAACAAAGGACAGGTTCAGGTCAGCCTTCTGGCTTTAGACAACACAGGTCTGGCTCAGGAGAGTCTTCTGGATTTAATCAGCATAGAACTGGCTTAGGTCAATCCTCTAGCTATGAACAACATGGTTCCACCTCAGGACAGTCACAAAGCTGTGGCCAACATGGATCTAACTCCTCTAGCTATGGTCAACATGGCTCAAGCCAGTATTCTGGTCACAGTCAACACAGGTCTGGCTCAAGTCAGTCTTCTGGCCACAGCCAACATGGATCTGGCTCAGGTCAGTCTTCTAGCTTTGGTCAGCATGGTTCTAGCTCTAGAGAGTCATCTGGCTTTGGTCAACATGGATCTGGCTTAGGTCAGTCCTCTACCTATGGGCAACACGGTTCTACTTCAGGACAGTCATCAAGCTGTGGCCAGCAGGGATCTAACTTAGGTCAGTCCTCTACCTATGGGCAACATGGCTCTAGTCAATATGGCTCAAGTCAGTCTTATAGCCACAGCAGACACAGATCTGGCTCACGTCAGTCTTCTGGCCACAGTCAACATGGATCTGGCTCAGGTCAGTCTTCTAGCTTTGGTCAGCATGGTTCTAGCTCAAGAGAGTCATCTGGCTTTGGTCAGCATGGCTCTGGCTTAGGTCAAACCTCTGGCTTTGGGCAACATGGTTTTACTTCAGGACAGTCATCAGGCTGTGGCCAGCAGGGATCTAACTTAGGTCAGTCCTCCAACCATGGTCAATGTGGCTCAAGTCAATATAGCTCCAGTCAGTACAGTCAGTATTCTGGTCACAGCCGACACAGGTCTGGCTCAAGTCAGTCTTCTGGCCATAGCCAACATGGATCTGGCTCAGGTCAGTCTTCTAGCTTTGGTCAGCATGGTTCTAGCTCAAGAGAGTCATCTGGCTTTGGTCAGCATGGCTCTGGTTTAGGTCAGTCCTCTAGCTATGGGCAACATGGTTCTACTTCAGGACAGTCATCAAGCTGTGGCCAGCAGGGATCTAACTTAGGTCAGTCCTCCAGCTATGGCCAACATGGTTCAAGTCAATATGGCTCAGGTCAATCTTATAGCCACAGAAGACACAGATCCAGCTCAAGTCAGTCTTCTGGCCACAGCCAACATGGATCTGGCTCAGGTCAGTCTTCTAGTTTTGGTCAGCATGGTTCTAGCTCTAGAGAGTCATCTGGCTTTGGTCAGCATGGCTCTGGTTTAGGTCAGTCCTCTAGCTATGGGCAACATGGTTCTACTTCAGGACAGTCATCAAGCTGTGGCCAGCAGGGATCTAACTTAGGTCAGTCTTCCAGCTATGGTCAACGTGGCTCAAGTCAATATGGTTCAAGTCAGTATTCTGGCCGCAGACGACATGGATCTGGCTCAGGTCAGTCTTCTAGTTTTGGTCAGCATGGTTCTAGCTCAAGACAGTCATCTGGCTTTGGTCAACATGAATCTGGCTTAGGTCAGTCCTCTACATATAGACACCATGGGTCTACTTCAGGACAATCATCAAGCTGTGGTGGATCTGGATCAGGTCAGTCTTCCAGTTATGGTCAACAGATATCTGGATCAGGTCAGTCTTCTAGCTATGGCCAATGTGGGTCTGGATTAGGTCAATCTTCTCACTGTAGTCAACAGAGGTCTGGATTAGGACAGTCTTCTGGCCATGTCCAGTGTGGCACTGGCTCAAGTCAGTCCTCTAGCTGCAGACAATTTGGGTCTGGATGGAGTCAGTCTTCTAGCTACAGTCAACACAGATCTGGCTCAGGTCAATGTTCTACCCAGAGTCAACATGGATCGGGCTTGGGTCAGTGTTCTACTTCTGAACAACCTGGGCCTGGCTCATGTCACTCATCTAGCTCTGGACAATGTGGTTCTGGATCTGGTCAGTGTTCTAGCTATGAGCAATATGAATTACAAGGGAGATGTAGGTCAAGTTCAAGTGGAACTCATGGTGGGTATAGTAGACCCCAAATAGGCTCAACTCCCAATCAATCAAGAAGAAACAGCCAGGAATGGTCAAGGTACAGTCAAAAAGAAAGAAGTAGGAGTTGTAGCCCAACAAGTAGCAAGTCTGATGGATATGAGAGTATTTGTGGACAATCAGAAACATGTAGGCAACAAAGCCAAGGATGCAGCCAGGGTCAAACGGAATCTGGCTACAGCTATTCAAACTGTAATGAAGGGCAACCAGGAGGTAGTTATAGACAAGAGGAAAGCTTCTCAAGTTGTGGCTTTAGACAATTTACACCGTCCTATGGAGAATCTAGATCTAACAGTAGCAATACATTGTTAATATGCAAGGAGGATAATAGACAAGGTGGCAAATATTACCAGAGAGAAGGAGGTCACTATGGAGGGAGAGACACAAACTCAAGTTTCTACAAGTTACGAAGCAGCACTCCACTCTATGAGTATGTCCAAGAGCAGAGGTGCTAACTCAAGTGATGAATAGTAAATAGAAGTGAAGCTAACTCAAGTAGTATTTTAAAAAATATGAAACTTACATACAAGCAATTCATTACAAAACTTCTTTCTAAAAGTAGATATATCTATTTCTGTCTTTTCCTTTTAAACATGTAACTGTACTTAATTCCTTGTTATTGTGTTCCTTCCAAAGAATGCAGGGTATGGGGACTACTTTGCTAGGAAATACAGAGTTGAATAAATGATGTATGAAAATAAATTCAGAAGAATAATGCAAAACATTTAAGGAGCTTGGGGTTTAGTTGAGGTGTCTTTTTGATAGCTCCTTACTTATCATATGATGCCAAAACTAATCTTTCATCTCTAAAGAGCAAAAAATAATAAATGTGTTACCAGTTCTGGAGCCAAAGCTTCTCTTATAGCAACATGGACCATAATTTTCTGTATGCTCCACAATGGGTGGTGGCAGAAAAGACCCTAAAAGCAAATATGTAGCATTGATAACATCTTTGCTTATCAAAACCACCAAGCTCCTTTTCTTAGCTGCATTTTTAATGAATAAACTAACAAGAGGCATTAAAAATTGGCCCCAGATGCTTCTCCCTAACCTGTGAGTGAGAGCATTTTTTCCCTAAAGGGCAGGGATGAAGGATTGAAGGAAGTAAATGTTAGCTCTGACTTGGTTTCAGCAAGAAAGATTTTGACCCCTACTGCTACGAATTTTCTCCAGGTTAAAAAAAAAAAAATTAGAAGAATAAGAGCATGAAAACACAATGGCTCCAAACTACCTCTGTAGTTCACTGGCCTTCCTCAGAGGAAAATATCATTTATACAGCAATGGAACAAAATACTGTCAGCCACTACTTTACAGTTTCTTAGTTTGACTGTAGCATATTTGTTTCAAGTCTCTGGATTCAAATAACTGACTGTATTAAAACTGACAATAAATAATGATGATGAAATACTGAGGTTTGTCTCATCTCTGCTTCAGTTCACTCTCACACACAGGTGGCATACTAGAAACTAACTTAAATAGTCATTGTCCAAGACCCTGTCCTTCACAAATAACCCAGAATATACAAATATTTTTTAATTCAAAAACAAGACAAACAACTCAGTTTTAAAATGAACAAAAGATCTGATTCGACACTTACCAAACAAAATGACCAATAAGCACCTGAAATTATGCTCAATGTCCTTAGTCATCAGAGAAATGCAAATTAAAACATAATAAAATACTACCACACAAACACTAGAATGGCCAAAATTTAAAATGTGGGCAATACCAAGATCTGGTATTACTGGTGAAAAGTAAAATGACATATTCACTTTGAAAAATAGTATGGCAATTTCTTCAATTCAGTTCAGTCACTCAGTCATGTCCGACTCTTTGTGACCCCATGGACTGCAGCATGCCAAGCCTCCCTGTCCATCGCCAACTCCCAGAGTTTACTCAGAGTCATGTCCATTGAGTCGGTGATGCCATCCAACCAGTTCATCCTCTGTTGTCCCCTTCTCCTCCTGCCTTCAATCTTTCCCAGCATCAGGGTCTTTTCAAATGAGTCAGTTCTTCCCCTGATTTGATATTTATAAGTTCTTTGTATGGTGATGGTTCTTTGTATGATGGGGAAAAACAGGAAAACTTATAAAAAGAAAGTTCACCAAAATAGAAATTTTAACAGCCAAGTGGCATTTTTAAAACAATGCTCAGAGAAACATAAAATTAAGATATAATGAAATATCATTTCATACCAATCATGTTACAAAAAAATTATTCTGGCATAGAACATTGGAGAGGATACTGAGCAATGAAGATCTACATTGGTAACCACTTAGGAAGAAATTTGGCGATGACACGAGAGTCAAAAAACGTTGCAAATAACTTAAAAGTTTAACAGAAGAATAGATAAATCAATTGTGATATATCCATACACTAGAATTCTATACAACAGTTAAAATTAATGAGATATACCTGAGGAAGGGGTGGAGGGAGTACAGAATACAGCACCAAAAATTATGCTACATTGGCATATGGATTATTCTGAGCTGAAGGTAATCAAGGCCTAGCTGACTCGGGAAGAGCTCCTTTTCTGGGGTTTGTTTGTTTTTGGCTCTCCCTTTAACTGTCTAAAACAGTTTAGGTACAGGGCCTATTGGGGCTTCTTGAGTGGCTCAGACGGTGAAGAATCTTTCGTAATACAAGAGAGCCATGTTCGATCCTTGGGTTGGGAAGATCCCCTGGAGAAGGGAATGGCAATCTACTCCAGTATTCTCACCTGGAGAATTCTATGGACAGAGGACCCTGGTGGGCTACTGTCCATGGGGTTGCAAAGAGTCAGACACAACTGAATGACTAACACTTTCACTTTTCACAAGGCCTATACTAGAATCAAAGCTATTAGCAGAGATAACTTTTTGCATCAGGAAGACTTATCTACATGGCCTGGAAAACATTTGTTAACCAAACATTTGCTCTTCTCATCTTCTTATGAATTGTCTTCCTCCCTTTGAAGTCCCCTACCCTCGTCTCTGGGCTTCCTTGGTAGTTCAACTGGTAAAGAATCCACTGCAATGCAGAAGACCCCAGTTCAATTCATGGGTCAGGAAGATCCCCTGGAGATCGGAACAGCTACCCACTCCAGCATTCCTGCCTGGAGAACTCCATGGACTGAGGAGGCTGGCAGGCTACAGTCCATGGAGTAGCAAAGCGTTGGACACAACTGAGCAACTGAACACAGCACAGCACAACACCCTCCTTTCCTTTGCTCAGAATGGTTATATAAGCCTCAACTGCCTGACTGCCTTTGAGTCTCATATTTTTATGGAACTCCCATATATATGAAATTAAAATTATTTTTCTCCAGTTAATCTATCTTATATCAACTTAATTATTAGGCTAGCCACAGAAACTAGAAGGGAAGAAGGGAAAAGTTTTCCGCTCCTAAGTATATTCAAATCTTCCTCAACTTATTATGGGAGCTACATCCCAATAAAATCATTGTAAGGTTAAATATATTACACTGAAAATGCATTTAATACACCTATTCTACCAAACATCATAGATTAGTCTAGCCTACCTTAAATATGCTCAGAACACTTATATTAGTCTTTAGCTGGGCAAAATCATCTAAAACAAAGCCTATTTTATAACAAATTATAGTACATTACATGTAATTTATTGAATATTTTACTGAAAGAGAAAAACAGAATGGTTGTAAGTTTATCAGTTGTTTACCCTCATGATTGCATAGCTGCCCAGAAGCTATGGCTCCCTGCCACTGACGAGCACCTAGAGAGAATTGTACCACATGGCACTAGCCTAGGGAAAGATCTAAATTCAAAATTCAAAGAACAGTTTCCACTGAAGGCTTATCATTTTCAAACCATCACAAAGCTGAAAAAAGTATAAGCCAAACCACTGTAATTCAGGGACTATCTGTGTATCTCAATATGGAGAAGTCCCCAAAATATAAACATTACATGAAAAAACTGTAAAACATCTGTATACTGTGTGTTACCCTTTATAAAGTCTTACAATACACATCATAATATATATATTATTATTTGTGGTGGTGTTTAGTCGTTAAGTAGTGTCTGACTCTTGCAACCCATGGATTGTAGCTCTCCAGGCTCCTCTGTCCATGAGATTCTCCAGGTAAGAATACTGGAGTGGGTTGCCGTTTCCTTCTCCAGGGGATCTTCCTGACCAAGGAATCAAACCCAGGGCTCCTGAATTGCAGGCAGATTCTTTCCCAACTGAGCTATAAGGGAAGTCCATTATTATTTGTCAAATATGTGTTAACTTAATTATTATTTGTAGCTAACACATATTTGGTAAATATAAAAGTCTTTATGGGAATGAAACACCAGATTCAGAACAGCAGTTACCTCTGGAGAGAGGGATGAAAATGGGACTGAAAGAAAAAACAAGTCCAAAAGTTTTCTTAAGCAAGTTGATATGTATTATTGTATTATTCCCTACACTTATTTATAAGCCATAATTATTCAATATTGCACAAAAAGAAGGACACAAAGATCAATGTGAGCATGCCATCAAAGACCATTCAAGGAAGAAAGTGTTCTGACAAGCTACTCCACTGACATATGGCTGAAATAAGTGAATCAACACCTAATGAGATTCACCATCCAAATCATACAACCACCTGTGTGCTTCAGACTTGAAACTCACCAGGGAGACTTCTGAAATGCTGGCTTCCTGTTATTTTCCCCAAAGGAGGAAGCATTGACTAATCAGATTTAAAAGGACACCTAGGGACTTCTCTGGTGGTCCAGTGGTTAAGACTCCATCTGCCAATGCAGAGGACACAGGTTCAATCCCTGGTCCGAGAAGCTTCCACATACCGTGGGGCAACTAAGCCAGTGTACCACAACTACTGAGGCCTGTGTGCCTAGAGCCCGTGTTCTGCAACAAGAGAAGCCATCGCAATGAGAAGCCACCACAATGGGAAACCCATACAACACAACTAGAGATGAGCCCTCACTCCCTACAACTAGAGAAAAGCCTCAGCAGCAACGAAGACCCAGTGCAGTCAAAAATAAATAAATAGTAATTTTAAAAAATAAAGACAATCAGTGTTTCTGATAGCACATTTCTGATTGGAAATTAATAATCTGGCATTCTAATTTCATGTTTCAGACCTGGTTAGGTTAGTTACAGAGAAACAGCTTTCCTGAATCTAAGTAACTAGAGACACCAACATCAGTGCACATCTAAGTCGACAAGGATGAGGACCAAATCTGACCCTTTTACCAGGCAATATCTCAACCTTATTCTTTACCTCTTCTAAATTTCAGGGTTCAGGAGAAAGAAAATTGAGATAAAGCAAAAAATTTCAAATAAATACCTCATTGTATACCTAAGTCAAATTTTTCATACTATTCCTCTTCTCCTTATTATGACTCCAAAATCTAAGAATTGTAATATTTCACCAAAAAAAAGAAAAGAGAAAGGGGTAGACTAACTCTTGAGGGTAGAATCTTACAGAATCTCAGTAACTTATCCAGGGTCTGCATCCCAATCCAGAAAATAAAGTCAATGTTTTTCTGTGCACTCATATGTAATCAATTTCTGGGAGACAGATTCATACTAAAGCAAAGTCTTAATGGTCCAGTTTTTTTATGCAAGATAGATATGCATTGAGAACAGGAACCAGTTGTCTATCTTGGGAACTTCCCTCCCACTGGCTGGGTTCATTTAAGAAATAGCAGAGATTCTTCAATGAGCTTTACAGCAAAGAAGCTTGATTCTCAAAGAGCTGGCCTACCATGATACGGTAAACTGATGATTTTAATAATCTGTCTTAAAAGGGAAAGAGTATGAAACTAACATTTTATGAACTGGGAATACAAAATCATGTGCTTTACATATATTACTAATATATTATTTATTGCTTAATTTCACTCTCACAGAAACCCTATGACTAGAGGAACTACACTCACTTTATTGAAGAAAAAACTGAAACTCTGAAAGGTTAAGTGACCTGCCTATATTAGTAGAGCCAAGATTTATACCCAGTCTGACTCAAAAGCACATGTGTTGTTGCCATATGTTGTCCACTCTAGTAATATTTTTCTTTAAACAACTACAGTCAAACACCGAGGATTGGATCAGCCCCATGGTCTAGACACTGCTGGAGACACACCAACTGGTACTCATCCTCTGACTCTCCTTTTCCTACCCTCCATGCAAAGATACTTAATGTCCTTCAGGAAACACCCTTGCTCATTAGCAAGACACCTGAGAACAATCCTAAGGGAGGATCCCTGTTGCAGATAACTCACCTCCTCACATTTTATTTATCTCATCACAATTAATGGCTCTCATTAGCTTCAATTCCAGAGGGTGGCATTTCTGACCTAGTCCTCCCTAGTGCAAGCCTCATTCAAGGTTCGGTAGGACTTATTATAAACAACCTCCCACAGTCTAGCACTCTTTAAAAACAATGATCCAAGTTCAACTCCCCCAGTACCCAGAAGCCCCCATCTCAGCCCTGCCACCATCACCCCCTCCTGCGTCCTCCGGCTCCCCAGCTCTGCATGCCCTATCCCACGTATGAGAGATCCCTCCCAGCTACTCCTTGGTCCTTGTCTACCACTCTTAGTCAGAGCATTCCAGATGTTGATGATATTAAACCATCAGGTACTCTGAGACACAGCTGTGACAATCTGCCATACAATATACTCTCAGATTGCATAGGCAGAGAACGAAACTCCATGCACAAAGACATCAAAGAGGTAGGGTGTTCAGGGAACAAAGAGTAGACATCTTTGACTGAAGCAGGCAGGCAAAAAGGATCAGGAACTGTGGCTAGAAATGCTAGTTAGGAAAGACTTAAGTGGACTGTGACGAACACAGAGAAGAAAAGTCAGTGAAGAATGTTGATAAAGGTGAATAAAGATAGAAGGAGAAAATGCTGCTTCCAGAAGCCAAAAAAGAGAACTCCAGTAACAGGCATGAATATAAAATGTATTTTATAAAGTTACAGTAAATAAAACCAGAGAGAACTAGGAAAAGAGTAAACAAATAGGTCAATATATCTGAATAAACAGTCCAGAAATATATATACATATATACACAAGTATGTGTGTGTGTGTATATATATATATATACATACATACAAATATATACATTTTTTAAAGAACACACAGAGTATCTGCTACATAGTTAACATATGTAAAGCACTTAGAAAAGTGCCCTGTCCATAGTCACCCTCCAAGTGTTACTGTTAGGCCACCTTGTTACTATTTGTTGTTGCTGTTATCATTATTACAAGTCAGTATGGAAAGGAAAGATTCTTTCAAGAAGCCGGACAGGAAAGAGAAGTACAAGAGTAGGCAAGGAAGAGAGAAGAAGCCTTTACAAAGAAGGAAATTAAAGTACATGTTGAAAACCTAGGAGACACCAAATAAAATTTGCTAAATGAGTGGAAAATATTAATAATTTGTAATATTTGAAAAAATATTGGTATTTGTAAGCCATATTTTCAGAAGGAGACTGAAAAGTAAGAGATAGTCAATGCCAGAAAGGGGTTTCATTGCTGGCTCAAGGACCTGGAAGAAATGACAGAAATGGAAACAAGAGCACATATACCGAAATCAGCCTTAGAAAAGGGTAGGTTTCCCTATACACTTGAGGCTAAAAGGAGGTAAAAATGAATGACGACATTCTTACCTCAGTGTTACTAAAAGAGGCTCCTAGGATGAGAATAATCACTTGAGGTACTTATTCGAAAAGCCAATTCCTGGATTCTATCCTAGCTAGGCCCACTGAGTCAGAATTTCTAGAAGATAGGATCCAGCAGTCTGCATTTAAATGATCTGGGATCCAGGGGACTCCTTTGAGAAGAATGGAGGTTAGGAGAAGTCACATCTGTTGTCCCTATGGAGGGGCTTCCCAGGTGGCACTAGAGGTAAAGAACCCGCCTGCCAATGCAGGAGATAAACAGATGCAAGTTCCACCCCTCAGTCAGGAAGATCCTCTGGAGGAGAGCCTGACAACTCACTCCAGTATTCTTGCCTGGGGAATCCATGGACAGAGGAGCCTGGCGGGCTACAATCCATAGGGTTGCAAAGAACTGGACACAACTGAAGCAACTTAGCAAGCACGCATGCCCCTATGGAGAAAACAAAACTGACCCCTTGTCCATCACTATTACGACCAAACACATCAGATACCACTGTTGCAGATGGGAAAAAAATCTTTATGCCCTGAGATAACCTGAAAATAAGGAACAACATTCTACCTAGAATTAGTTTCTTCAAGTCAATGAAGCCTTGAACCCTTTCCTATAAACTGCAGACTCCCTAATGTAAAAATATTTCTCCCTGACTTTCATAATACTGATAGCTACAAGTATGATAATTAATCATGTGGGGAAATTGCTGTTTTACCCACAAGAAATGACCAACTGTAATCCTGGTAACCTCAAAGACATTTTTTTCTTTAAATGTCTTCCGTGTCATTTATTCAAAGAAACATTGTTCTCAAGAATGGACCCCTAATGCTTTTTTAGGCACTTCTCCCTCTTAAGAAAAAAGGATGTGAAATAATCTGCTAAAAGGAGTATGGGAAGGGAGGGAAGGAAGTTTGAAACGAGTGAGAAAGGTGTGAAGCACTGAGAGCTTTGGGAAGGGCATGAACTAGGAATGAGGAACGAGATTGTCAGGTAGGATTCAGAACTTAAATAAGATGGAAAATCACAAATGTGTAGAGAACAGCGAATGCACCACAGTACATGATATTCACCAACACACAACAACCTGGCAGAGGAAGCATAGACAATAAAGTGAAGTTAGTGGCAGGTATGGAATTGGCAGGGCAGGTGGAAGGACAAGTGAAGGGTCCCAGACACTGAATGATCCCTAGAGAGGGTTTCAGGAATGGGAAATACGGACAGGACCTCTCCTGGACCCAAACTGTGTGCCTGTGAAGGCAGGGATAATTTTGCAATCAAATTTCCCCCTAATTCCATTACTGTTGTAAAGACAGGCCTTCCAAGCAGCAGCAGAAGCTTTTCAGGTAAAGGTAAAGTAACAGTATGGAATATACTAGGACTGATGTATCAATGCTGGGTCACTTATTGCTTTTTAACCTCACAACTCTTTGGAGCAGAGATCCTTAAGCTTTTCAGTGCGCTAACTGCGGTTTTCAGAAGTGAACTGTGAGTCCAGGGACACACAGCTCAGCCAAGATGTGTAGGTCAGCTGTGACTGACCACAAAACTCATTCTCAATCCACCAGCCCACACTGCCTTCTCTGGGAGCAGCAGGCTCCACTCCACAGAGCAAAGAGAAACAGCATCACAGAAAACCAGATGTCTCACAGAACATGGGGTTGCAGGGGGTTTCCAAAGGAAGAATTGAGGATATGGGGACCTTTCTTGGAAACAGAAGTAAAGAAAATGAGACAAGCAAAATACAGAATTAACAGTGACAGGAAAGCAAATAATAAGCAATATGCAGTTGTAGATATTATATCAGATTGCTGATTGAAGGAATATGTACATTGAGGACATGAGGGAGAGGACAGGCAGGAGAAGGAAGTGAGAAGAAAACAAGCTCAGCCCATCACAGTCATTATCTGTGACATCTCTCAGTGGAGGTGGAAGCCCTGTCTAGATAAGGAGTCATCAAGCTTAGCAGGAGGAGCTGATCTTGATGCACCCTTAATCCAACCCTTCTCTTCTGCCCACTCCGGGAGCAATTGGGATGATCAGATTTGCACCTCTTTGAGATGCTTACCCAATGCTGACAATACTCATAATGCATTATAACATGACTGAGGCCCATACTTTCAAAAGTCTGATTATGGAATCTAACCCTTTCAATTACCCCATGAGAGATAATCCCATATACCCAATTTACTGATGAGGACAGCGAGGCACAGCAATTAAGTAATTGGCTATGGTCACCAGAGCTAGCATTTGAACCCAAGTGGTATGATTCTGAAGTTTTTCTTCTTAACACAAGGCACCACCTACAACTGTAAAATCTGTCCACTGTTCAGAAGTACCCACAGGAAGCAAGTCCAAGAAATCCAATCCATGTCCACTTAACAACCCATGTATCCTTAGCAAAAAACTATGTCCACCTGAGTACTTTTTTCTTTTCCCCAGGGACCCCCTATTTGCCAGGTGATGTGTCCAGAGGACTAGATCCATGCAAAGAGGAAGCCTTTCTAACTCACACAAAGATACCAAAGTCTAGCTGTGGTCCTACCTACCTGCCACAGGCAGTAAAATACTCAGTCCTGGGAAATCAAGTTGGCACTGAAAGAGTGAAATGACAGGAGGGAGCAAATAGAGGTATTTCAGAATATTGTCAACAAAGAGATGACTCCAGTTTAGGAAGTGGTTCTGGCTCTGGAAACAGGTCTAGGAAAGTGTCAAAGCATGAATGGAGAGAGGGGTCACATATGAAGAGACTTGAGGTTGAGTCTAAATGGACCCAAATGGACAAGGTGAAACCATATTCTAAGACTTAAATTTTTTCAAAATAGAAAAGTGACAAGGTCAGAATGGTGAAGAGGAAGACAGATGAGTATCCAGGAAAGGAAGAGGAATAACTGGATGGAACTTGCAGGTGTCCTTTGATGCCACTTTGGGGCTGGAAGAAACTCAGCCCCCTCACTCACCCCAAGACACATCAGACCATGTTTGTCCTCCACAGTCTGAAAGGACTTTTCCATAAGGTTTGCTGTCATCGTGGTAACACTAAAAGAGGCATGTGTCCCCTCAGCTCTAAGATGCCCACATTAGAAAGGACTAGGCACTGACATTGGAAGTATTTATTTAAAGAGATTCCTTTATTTCTGGGCAGAACACAGTGTGTTACACAAAGAACTGCTTACCCTGATCAAGGTCTTATTCAGAAAATACAATGATGCCTTTCTGTAAAAAAAAGAAAAGAGAAAAAAATTCACCATCTTTCACACTAACTCTGGGGCAAAGAAAGAATACTGTCCCACAAACTGTATCCTACTCTTTATTTTTCTCTAACTCCCCTCCATCTCTGTTTAGGCAGTCTTTTCTCTATTCTGCATAGTAGGAAAAAATAAAGGTTCTGTGCAATAGCATCATCTTTCAAATTTGAACATCTCACACCTGCACCTTGCCTTCTGCATTCAGAAGAAAGGGATGCTGATATTTCTGTCCTCGGGTCCCTAAATCTGGACTGTGCAGCCCTCAGAGCACACCTGTGTGAAGCCCACAGCAGGCTGGGAAAGACCTCATTAATACTACATATGGCTGACCACAGATGTTTCTGTACCTAAAAAAAAACCCAAACTTTCATTTCCAAGTATCTTAAAACTCAGCACAATAAAACCACTAGACAGTGCAAAATAATATTTTCTCTGTTTCTATGGGAAGTAGCAGGAGAATTAAATGCTTGATACTGCGGGGAACTAGGACTCAGTGGTGAAAAGTAAAGTTTCACGGTTGACCAGTTTGGAAAAAGCACCAAGCCCTCTGGTCCACCTCAACACCACCACCCCTCTTGGGGTGAAGTGTCCAGCTAAACTCACTGAACTGGAGAGTCATTTGAGGAAGGAGAGGATGGGGAAGTAGAGCAGGACTGTGATGAGGCCGAACACAGTCTTCAGACTGGGCTGCCTTCTCCCACTACAAAGCAAAACCAGGA